TATAAACTACTGCAAGACCGTTTCAGGCTGGACATAAGGAAGAATTTCTTTACTGTCTGAGGCCCCAAGGTCTGGAACAGCCTGCCATTGGAGGTGGTTCAAACACCTACATTGAACACCTTCAAGAGCCAATTGGATGCTTATCTTGCTGGGATCCTATGACCCCAGTTGACTTCCTGCCTTTTGGGCGGGGGGCTGGACTCAATGATTTCTGAGGTCCCTTCCAGCCCTAATATCTATGAAATCTATGAAATCAGGATGGAAGCAACTCTGAGAGGTCATCAAGACCAAATGCTTGCTCAAGGCAGGGCCACCCCTGTCTAAATTATTTCACAGATTCACAGAAGTTTAGGGCTGGATGAAGGATTTGGTTTTGGCTAGAAATAGATGTTGCCAAATGAAGTAGATCAGCTGTGCCAGGATGTTTCCCAGCACAGCTAATTTGCTTCACTGAGTGAAGCGCATATCACCCGTTGTCCCACAAGATTAATGGGCAGGACAACAGGCAATGTGATCCCTGCTTCAAGAGATGTGCCCCCAGCAATTTCTGGGGCATGTCTCTGGAAGCAGGCAAAGTCAGGGTGTGTCTCTGGAAGAGGAAAAAGCCTTTCCCCACTTTCAGAAATGCACCCCAGAGATTGTCGAGCATATGATTCTGGAAGAAAGGAACTCTAACTTTCCCTGCTTCCAGACGCATGCCCCAGAGATTCCATGGGGAGCAGGGGAAGCCGGAGAGGTGCTCTTGAGGCTTGAGGGGCCTAATCCTGTGCAGGAATTTGGAGCGCATGCAGGACCAAGCCCCTCAAGCCACTAGAGTGCCTGCCAGGGGCAGCTGGAGAGTGCAGGCAGCTCTGGGCTACCCACATTCTCCTACTTTAACGCAAATAGATGTCTGATACAATAAAGTGGCACAAATTATTAGTACCTTTTGTTGTGACCAAGTTGTGTTACAGTGAAGGGTATGGATGTCTATTTGCTTTCACTCTGAGCCACTATAAAAATGTTTACGGTTGCACAAAGGTGACAAAAGGCAACATCCATTCCTACCTTTAGAGGCTTGTTGTGTAAGGCTGACCATCATCACACTATCTGAGCCCCTCTGATATTTAGAAGGCATCTGAAAATTAACTTGACTGCTGCTTAAGGCGGGGTCCAATAAATCATATCACCCTCAACTCCCTGTGATTCTACTTGTCTTTAGAATCCCTCCCTCCCTCTTCTTTCCAATGAAGAGACTAGCACCCAGAGAAATCTTTAGGGACCACAATACATGCAACTGCCAGGTTTTCCTCCAACCAGCAGCTCCCTGGACCACAGATTGGGAACCGCAAATTCCTTCTGTGACATCAGGAATAACATGGGCCTAGCAAGCATAAGTCTAACGTACATTATGCAAGCAGGTTGCTAGAATGAAATTCTCATGATCCCAGGCATGGCGCAGAGTCTATTGACTCCGATCCTTCACCAGTCGGTGTCCCAGCCTCACCAGGGCCAGATTCAATGGGTGCAGGACAAGGTTTCTGGTGCTGAACACTCACCCGCAGTACTGTGGAATGCATTTGCCGTGACAAACTGACCCTCTGTCCAACCCCCACAGCTGTTGATGTTTGTGCCTCCTGGTGCCAGGAGCACATTTGAGAAGGGAATTAGCTGCTATTCAAGGTCACTGCTGTTTTCACATGGCTCATGCCACATGACTTAAACAAAACCTTTAAATAAATCCCCAGTATCGCATCAGTTTAATACTTAGGTTAAGTACCAATTACAGCTAATAGTTTCTGTTGCTGTTGGCTCTGGATTTTTCAGCAGGAGTTGATTACCTTGTCACCCGAGTTACTTCCTCCTTTTTTCCCTTAATAACTCCAAAGGAAATGCCCAAAATATCATTAATAGCAAAGGATGACTGGCCCCAGCATTATCTCGGGGGGGGGGAGGGGTCCATATATATGTCCCATGGCAGCCAGGATGCCAAGGCAAGCACTTGGGTTATGCCATGGGAAAGCTGACCTAGTTGATCAGTATCTTCTGCAATAAGCTAAGATAGGACAAAAACTAGCTGGGCCCCAGCACAAGTTATGAAACTACATCCACAGCTGGGGCCCAGCTGGCAAAGCAATGGGATCTTCATTCTGGGCATCAAAACAGGTAGCACTGGTCCCTCCCTTGACATGAGATGATGAAGCTCTGTGTGTGCTGGAGCTCCATGGGCTGGACTGATGAAGGTCTTGGGGTTGGGGCAATCAAACTCTGCAGTTTGGGATCCTCTGACACCCCATGAGAACTTGAGATGGTTGACAGTAGTGTTTCAGAGTGAAGCATCTGCAAGCATGAAGGAGGCAATCCCTGCCTCCTCCCATGGAAGGAAGCTTAACTAACTCCGCAAGCTGAAATTCAGAATGTATCCTACCTCCTGTGGGTAGAGGGAATTATAGCACATGATGGACTTGACCATTCCTAAGGGCCAGCTATGGAAAGTCCAGTGAGCCATAGGACTACGTTTGGGTGATGATCAGTGGCAGGTAAACACATTTCAAGAAGAATGGGCCCTATGGAAATGAGATGATCCACAAGCATGTGTTGTTGGAGGCCATATTATCAAAAGCAGCCCCCAAACTTGCTGTTTTTTTCTGCACAAACCCTGCAGCATTCATTATTTGTCATTGCTGGGGAAGCAGCACTTGTGCCCCTAAGCCAGAAGCCAAGGCACCCCGCTACCTACTTCAGCCTCTCCACTGGGAAACTTTTTCCTACAGAAGGTGGTCCTGAAAATGTCAGTCTGAACTTGGAGTGATTCCTTTATCTGGGCAGCACACCTGGGGGGACCAGCTAGAAAAGGCTGGGAGCATCAGGGTTGGTGTCCGACCTCGTGAACTGACATCTTGCAAGAAAACATTTCCTAGAGATTCCCCTAGTGGGATCTGCCCTGTGTTTAATATCAGCATTAATGGAAACTGAGCCATGGGATGCCATGGTACAAAAGTGCTGCCAACACTAACCATTGAGGGATTTAGGTGGGAGGACATGTTAATCTTCTGATCATGCAGGTGGGGATGGAGAGAGACACATTTTTCTAAGATGCATTGCCCAGTACTCTGCCACTGCCCTGCTGCATTGACCTACATATGGGCCTGATGCCTATAAACAGTGGTACTCAACCTTTTGGGATCGGCCTGTGCACTGAATCCAGCCATGGAGAGACCCTGTGCATCAGCCTGGCCCCATGTGCCAGCACAATCCCACAGACGGGGCTGTGTCATCCAGCTTACAGGGCTCCCTACAGGTCTGGAAATTTGGTGGTGGGGGAGTAGTGGTGGTATTAATTGACATAGCTTCCAGAACTTCTGCTGCCATTTCCCTGCCACTAAATTTCCAGCCCCGTGGGCTGGAGGTTGAGCACTACCTGCTATAGAACAAGAAGGCACTTATGTAGCTGAAGGAAGACACCGTTTCTAGAGGTATGTCTGTGAACTGCTGTTGCCATCTTACCTGAGCCATCAGCCATGGCAGTGAGGAGATCATTGTGTGCTAACTGCCTACATATTTATCCTGCTTCTCAGGTAGGGTTTGCCCTAGGTGAGCTCTGTGATGCTGTAACTAGGTGGCTACCAGTACTTGAGCTACCTATTTTGCAGCTAATGTGGGTATGTCCACGTTACATTGCAATCAATGGACTGCTCAGTCAGGCCAGCTCTGGGTAGGAGCCTGGGACAGAACTTGAACAATCACTTTCTGCCCCAGAGGTAAATGTGCTCCTCAGTCAGGTGTATTGGCTCCATCTTGAGCTATCAAGCCACACTTGCTCCTGCAGCCTTGTATGTTCTTACCCCAGGGCTGAATTTGGCTCCTGGAAAACAGTGCAGACCCTGGGATCACAGTAGCAGGGTTTAGCAAGGCTCATAGAAACATTGCAATGCTGAGGGAGCAGCATTCAATTCCCCCCAAGGCAGATGGTTTTCTCAGCAGATTCCAACAGGTTTACACAACTCTGACAAGTAATAGAAGCAACTAGACAAGCTGCTGCCATTCGTCTCCTGTTTTGTTCTTTCAGAGGAGAGGATGAGGCCTGTGCAGCTTGGAAAACAAGCTTCAAAGCCATTGGTGAGAGGGTTACCAAGTTTAGAAAGGATTTCACACGTCCGTGGAACTTAGGGGCTATGTCTGCAGTTCAGGCAGTGGTGACCGGGCAGCGAGCGGCTCAGGTTATCAAAGGAGATAAACAGAGGGGGCTGAGAAGATACAACTGCATGCCGCTAGGACCACTAAGGGAATGACGCAAAAAACTCATTCCTTCAGCCCTCTTCCCCTGACCCAAGAGGCAACATAGCAAGTGAACTTAGAATCAGTCAATCAGACTCTATTTCTCATCATCCAGTGGCTTTAAGCTGTAGCTGGGGTGTAGAGAGAGAGACTGGCAGCAGAGGCCATCAATGAAAGCACTTGACTGAGATATGGCATCTTATTCCTGCAGCTTATTTCTGCTGCTTGCTGTGTGACCTCGGCTTGGTGGCTTTTGCTGTCTGTGCCTCAGTTTTCCGTCTTGCTCTTGGTCTGTTTTGAGGGTGAGCTCTTCAGGATGGGAACTACCTCCTTCTCTATATCTTTACAGCACCTAGCACAACAGAGCCCATGGCTCAGCTACCAGGTGCCACATATTACAGGAGGAGGACACAGGAAATGAATAAGCCCCCTTGTTTGGAGGAATTGGCAAGCTCCTACATGGGTGTAACAGGTCCCAGATGCTCTGAGGGCAGGTGCTGTGGGTGGAGCTGTCCCTAGGGGTGTGCGGGGCCTGGGGCATATCAGCCTTTGTGGGGCCAGGGGGTGGGGGTGGCGACCGCCCGCAGAAGCCGGTGGCAGCATCAGTGACAAGGGGTGAAGGTGGCGACCACCTGCAGAAGCTAGCAACAGCAGGGCCTGTATGGCACTGTTCGCAGGGCCCCCCAAAGCACGGAGCCTGGGGCGATAGCCCTGATTCGCCCCTCCCTAGGGACAGCCCTGGCTGTGCGTGTATCTATACTAAGAATGAATAGGGAGCAGATGACTGTTGAGGAGATGAGAAAGAGCATTGTGTGTGGATTTCCTATAGGGATTTCTCTCTATTCCCCTCCCTCCAGCCCCATTTTACCACGCCACAAACAAGCAACTCACCACGAGGTTCCCAATGACCATCACCAACATGAAGACGATAAGGCACATGGCTTGGCCTGCCACCTCCATGCAGTCCCACATGGTCTCAATCCACTCTCCGCACAGGATGCGGAAGACAATGAGGAAGGCGTGGAAGAAGTCATGCATGTGCCAGCGGGGCAGTGTGCAGTCAGAGGAGATCTTGCACACACACTCCTTGTAGCTCTTCCCAAACAGCTGCATGCCCACAACAGCAAAGATGAAGACAATGATGGCCAGCACAAGGGTGAGGTTCCCGAGAGCGCCCACTGAGTTGCCTATGATCTTTATGAGCATGTTGAGGGTTGGCCAGGACTTGGCAAGCTTGAAAACTCTGAGCTGCAAAGAAGAAGGGGGAAAGCAAACAATGACCTGTGGAGCTCTTTGCCACAACATATCAAGAGCATAGCAGGGCTCAGAAAGAGACTGGGCATCTTTTAAAATGATAAACTTTGAAAAGTTAGTTCCAAGCACTTGGGAGGGGGTAGGAACCCTCTGGCATGCAAGGTAGACCAACCTCTAAACACTGGGAGTTAAGAGGAGGCTGCTTTGGGGCCAGATATCTAAATTGCCTCCTGTAAGGCTTCCCACACCTTTCTCAGCAGCTTCTTGTACTGGTCACTTTTAGAAACAGGATAATAGATGGACCCAACCTGGATGTTTCTGTATTTTCTCAGAGGGAATGCAAGTATTCCTGTGAGTTTAGCAACTGCAAGACTAGGACAATCACTAATGCCACTGCATCCCAAATTGACATTGGAGACATATATCATGTTGGCAATGGCTCTAGTGGGGCTCACAATGTTTGCCCTGGGTGTGATGGTTCATTCTTTTCAACCAGTGCAATTCAGGGGATATTGCTTCATGGGAGTTGGAAATAATCCTTCTTTGCTCTTGTCCTGGCCTTGAAACCTTCAACACAACACTTACCAGACGGAAAGATCGGAGCACAGAGAGCCCCTGCACGTTAGCCAGGCCCAGCTCCACCAAGCTCAGGGTGACGATGATACTGTCAAATATGTTCCACCCTTGCTGGAAGTAGTCATATGGGTCCAAAGCTATGAGCTTTAAAACCATCTCAGCAGTGAAGATCCCAGTAAAGACCTGTGGAAAAATGCACAACCAGCCTGTTACAACCCCTCAGCAGAAGAAATGGCACAAAGATGGCAATAAGACCCCTGCAAACCCAATATAGGGGCATACTGGTGGTAGTGCCATAGAGATCTAGTCAGAGCCAGCAGGCAGGGTGCATCCCAAGCCACCCAAGTTTCACTGGGACCAGCCCATCCAGACAGCCTAGACTTGGGAAGGGTGCAAAGGGGGTTTAAAGGGCAGCAGGTTTCAGGCTGTGCCCTGAGAAGACAAAGCATAACAAGTCACCCACCAGAACAATGATTACAGCAGCTCCATCAGGAAGTGCAGAGAGGTAGTGCCCTGCATTGATTTCCCCAGGAGGCCTAAGTGATGCACTGCCTTCACAGACCCTGAGCACTTGTCTTTTCCAGCAAGAGCTACAGTGTACTGGATTTCTCTTGGAAGCTGAGAGAGAAATCCAGTGCAGCATGGATCACTGCTAGAAACCTTGAGTAAGTGAGTCTCCCCCAGTGGCATGACCAGAGTGGGCGACTAAGACAGACAGCCCAGGAACTGACTTGGTTGGAGGAGAATGGAGGGAGATGAAAAAGCAGAGCTGCCGCTGCAGCTGTACAACTTCGCTGAAGGCAACCACAAGTTGCTGCTGCACCCGTGTGGCAGCTGTCCCATGTACCCAGCCACACTGTTAGGCCTCTGCTGTCTCCTGAGGTCATCCTTTTCCACAAGCTAGACTGCACCACTGCTAAGTAGCATGTTTTAAAAGCTCCAGTGTTGTTTGGGAATTGAGGGAGACACTGGCCCTGTATGTGAAATGACTGCCTCCTTGATCTCCCTCAGACACACTTGGCATATGGCATGTTGTGATGAATAGAAGAAAAAAATAAGTGGACAAAGTATCACCCTCAAATGACTTGCAACCAGAAGCCTCCGCTCCAGGAGTTATCCAGTTAGCAGTTCCTCTATGAGCTCTGACTGTGACCGCTCCCCCGAAGTCCTGCTGCCCTGTAAGCTGATCTGGCGTTTGCACATTGCTCTCTTGATTGGGACTATAATGATGTTCTGTATTATCACATTACCTCAGCGTGGTATTGGTTAGGTGACAATTAGCATCCTAGAAACATTCCTATTATGTGGCACCAGGCTTTGGGAGTGCAGACCTGGGCTGAGGAGGTTTACCATACACAGTATATATTCCAAGGAGGTGGCCAGCAAACTGTACAGGCAGTCCTCGACTTACAATGTTTCAAGTTACAAC